TGTTCTGCTGCTGCTGTCTGGGGCTTGGCCATGGTTTCTGGAGGTTGTGTAACCGGTACAAGGGGTGGGCAGAAACTGCCTCCTGTACCTCCAAGAGGCCTCTCACCCAGCAGGCTTGGCAGCCCTGTGTTGTCTGCTTGTTCTTCACCACCCTCCTAGGGCCTCCTCATGGGAGCAGGCCCTAGAGAAAGCAAATTGTGGCCGTTATTTTCCCTCGTGAGCTGCCGACCTTCACATTCCTGCAAGTTTGTGGCAGCGTTGACTCGGGGGGTGACACTGTCCTCCTGGCCCTGGTGGCCTTTCAGTGGTGCCTGGAGCATCACTGGGGGCCCAGGACATGCGGGGCGAGGTAGGAAGCAGCCGGGTGCCTTAGGAAACCTCTCCTTCTGAAGGCAGGACGGAGCCTGGAAGACACAGCCTGGCCGGGTCTCTCCTCGCTCTCTGTTGTCGTGTCCAACCTGCTCCTGGCGTGTGTGTCCCTGCCCCGTGGGTCGCAAAGCCCCGTCCCTGCCCTCTGCGGGACAGCTGCCCTGCGGAGCCCCGTTATCGCCACCTGCCAAGCGCCACAGGAACCTTAGTCACCAGGATGGTGAAGAAGGGAGAGCCCGTGGGCAGGGAGCTGATGGCGTCCCTGATAGAGAGGCTGGTGGGAGGCTCTGCAGGAATCCCAGCCCTGGCAGGGATGGGGGCGTTTGCGTCGGGGGCTGCTGCTTGACACCTGGCTCCAACCACAGCTTGCCCCGGCCCAGCCTTGCTCTGGAGGAACAGGAGCGACGTGCCAAGCAACGCGGAGAGGAGGCCCCGGCTTTTCTGCGTGTCCGGGGCTCTGGTCTGCTCCAGGGAAGCTCCTGCACTGTGTACTCCAGCCCCAGCTCCTGGCGTGATGATGGTGCTCGGGAGCCGTGGGAAAGTGGAGTTTAGAGCAGGCTGGGGACCTGCCACCACCCAGTGAAGGGAGGTCCCTCTGTGGCCGTGTGCACCCGACATGCCGAAACTCTTCCCCGTGGGTGTCCACACCCGCAGCCCAATAGGGGCGTTTGCTGCATGGGGGCGGCAGCCAGCTGGGCCGCATGCCTTGGTGGCTTCGTCACCGCGCGCCGCGCCAGGCCACCATGCGGGCACTGGGCAAGACACGGCGCCTCGTGGCGGAGCAGGACGGAGGCCATGCGCCCGGTCCCATTCCCAGAGGATGGTGGCTGCTGCGGGGCTCCTCTCTGCTGGGGAGGGTAGGGCAGAGCTGGGAGCTTTCTGGAGCTGGGGAGCCTGCATGGGCTCCATTGTAACCTTCCTGCACTGCCACGCACTCTCTGGCTTTCCAAAAATTCCTTTAGCTCTTGGCCAGATCACAGCCAAAGCTGCTGGATCAAGGAAACGTAGCTTGTGGGTGGCTTTGGTTGCCCAGCCAAGGAGTGGGGGCAGCTCTCTGACCTGTCTGGCAATGCCCTGCACTGCAAGGGGAGTGTTGGGAGTTTATGTGGAGCCTCTTAAAGGAGATGGGATGGCTCCTTCTGAGTGTTTGGGAGCCCCATACGTGTCCCAGCCTCTGCACAGAATTCACTCGTGACGTCCCACTGTTGCAGCCATCGGCAGGGTGCTGGGAAAGGGCCTCAGAGGTGCCCGCTAGGGATGCTGGCCCAGAGGAGGTCTCCTAGCCAGGTCCATTAAGCCCCATGTTTAAGCCCCCTGCTCTTGGTCTGAGTTCACACATGTGTCTGAGAGGCAAAGTCCAGCTGCCTGGAGCAGCCCATAGGACAGCAGTGGCTTCCAAACCCTGCGGTGATCTAGAGCACACATTTCCCAACCTCTGTTCTTGAGTCGAACTCAGCTATTGCATCGTTAGCTGTCTAGCTCCAGTTCCTCCTTACGCCACCTCTCTGTGTCCCTGCTGAGCCAGCAGCATCCTGGGCTCCAGACTTCTTGCATGTGGCCACGCACCTCTTCTTGCTTCTCCTTGGAACGTGATCACAGAGAAGCCCAAGCAAATTCTGCAAGGGGCCAGCAAGGCCCCAGCGCTGCAGCTGCACATCCCGGCCTGCTCCAAGCCTTGCGATGAGCTGCTGGAGGTGGTCGCAGGCAAGTGCCTGGATCCTCAAGAGCTTCTGGCCCCTGTTGTCGGCGGGGACTTGGGCGCTGAGCCAAAGCCCTACCGGAGGCTCCACTCTGCTCGTGGGAAGAGGCGCCTCTTCCTGGCAGCCCTGCAAGCGCTTCCCAAGAGCAAAGCCTGGGATATCTGTAGAGTTCAGAAAGCAGGCACAGCTGGTGGCCATGACACGGGACAGCATCTGCGCTGGAGCTGGAGGAACAAATCCCGGGCAGGAATTGTCACCCCTCCTGGGTTCTCACACCATGGATGGGGCTTATAGCTGGTGATGTAAAGACCACGAATGTCTTGGAGTTTACGTTGCACTGACGAACGCTTTCCTTCTCCTCAGCAGCAAGAGGGGGTGGGGAGTGAGAAGAGGGAAGGCGAAGGACTGCTCCTTAGCGTGCGATCCACAGGGCGCTATTCATGAGCGCAGGGTCATGATTCACACCCTTTCCTGCGCAGACGTTCTGTAATGAAAGCCCAGACTCCGGAGCATCGTTCACCCCTGGAGCTGGAAGCTTTGAGCTTTGACGGAGCAGGGCTGCAGGGTGCTGCTTGCACCATGCTAGCAGGGATGGGGAATTGAAGCACAGACCTTGCAGCGCATCCCTTGCCTGCACGCATATCCAGGGGGGCAACATGGCTTTCCGGGCTGCTAAACTGCTGGGGCTAGCTGGGATCTCCTTGTCTTGGATGCCTGACTGTGAATCTTTTGTTTTAGTATCTGCAAGTAATTGACTTTTGCTTTTCCATTTGCTTAAGAGCTCCTAATTGGCCTGGTCATTAATCAGGGGAGAATGAGTGACTAAGCTGTTCTGACTGCTGGAGAACTAGAGCTCCTTTTTCCCATGAACTGAAAGGAAATTAAACTTCAAAACGTCCTCCTAAATCTTAGCTGTCAGCATTGCTGCCCAAAGCTCCAGCCAAAATACGCGATTTGTGCAGCCTGTGAACTGCAGCAGAAGCACCCAGTGGACACCAGAAAATGGGGTAACAACAGGCTATTCTTTTTCCACTAGAAAACGCCAAGATAAGAGTGAGGAATTTCACTGCTCATATGCGCAGGCTCCTCGTTCTTTGGCACGCAAAGTGTTTCTGAAACCCGGGCGGTCCCGTGGCTCTGGCGCCGCCTCCTCCGCAGCCTGGGGCTTTTGGCAGCGGAGCTGGGGCTGTTGCATGGTCTGGGAGGGGGCAGTTTGGGTGGCAGCTGAACCCCAAAACGTCCTCTCCGACCTGCCTGCTCTCCAACCTGACCCATTCCCTTCTCGGGAGGGAAGCGCTGGATGCAGAGCGAGCTGCTGCTGAGCCCCGGGAGCAGCAAAATGCAGCAAACCGGGGTGTCCTGGAGGGCTGCTGGAGCCGTGGGCCATCCTGCTATGGTCCCCTGGGGTAATCCCTGGATTTGCACCACAGGGGAACCACAGGCCAGTGCAGCTTGGCCCCTCAGCGAGGTGGGCGGCTGCTGCTGCCAGAGCAGCTCCGGGGCGGCTGCAGGATGTTCTTGGCTCGCGCCGTGGCCGCGCACGTGGATGTTGTGTCTGGCTTCGTGCACCCGGCACAGCGACGAGGACGCCAGCACAGCATTCTCGCCGCCTCCTAGCGCCCCAGCTCTGGGAAAGACTTGTGCATAGTTGCAGGCGACTTGGATTCTTTCCCCCTTGCAGTCGCTGGGGTGAAGTTGAGCGAGAAATTCAAACTGAAGGGCCTTGATGCCAACACAAAGCTGGGGACACCTTCCTGCCAGCAGCCTCCCCACTGGGCCTTTGCCACCTGGGGAGGCTTTGAGGGAGGGGTTTCGCTGTGGGACACCTGGGTGGCCACGGGGGGCAGAGTGCCACACTTGCCATGGGACCTTGCTTGATACTTTCTGTGCATGCATGGATCTATTTTTCCTTTTTTGTCCCGTTTTTTACCCCTCTTTACACTTTTTTTCCCTTTTTTCTTTTTTTTTCCCCTTCTTTTTACTTTCTTTTTCTTTTTTTTTTTTTTTTTTTAATTGGCATGAAAGCTTGGGTGACAGTGATTTATCCTGCAACTGCCGCTGTGGCCAAGGCTCCTTTCTGGGGCTGGTCAGTGCTGTCCTCAGCTGGGGCGACTCTAAAAGCCACCGAGGGACATAGTCAGCTCAGAGGGCCTGGACATGATGCCCAACCGTCTTGTGGCTCTGCCCCTGCCATCCTGACCCTACCGCCCATGGCCCCCACTGCAGAGCTCAGGGCTGCTCTGGGGGACATCACTCACAGGGGACGTTGCTCACAGGACATCTAGGACAGGGGTGCCCTGCTCATGGAGGCGACGCCGCAGGGAGCGCGGAGCTGCACAATGTGCCGGAAGCACCGGTCTCCGAATACTGCCGGAATAAGCTTAATGTCAGGAATTTCCTGCCTCGTGGAGGAATCCGAGGCATTAGTGCTGCACGCCAGAAAGAGGCTCTGCTTTGGGCAGCCCGGCCCCAGGCCGCCCCGGCTGCGTCCTGGCGCTGCTCCTGTGGGCCCAGGGTGGCGCGAAGGTGTCGGGGCCATTAGGAGAACGGCAGGAGGTTTACGAGGGGGATGAGGGTCCCTGGGGCGGCCACTGCCTCCCCTGCTGCTCCCCACAGTGCCAGAGACTCCAAAAGGTGCCATGGAGGCGGCTCTTGTGAAGGAGCAGGAGGGCAGGGAAGGGGAGTGCCGGGGGCAGGACCCTTCTCACCAGTGCCAAGCTCCAGAGTATCCCCACATGAAGACTCCCCCGTGTCGCTGGGGCACGTCCCCATCCACTGCTGAGCCCCCAGCCTTTCTGCCTCACGAGCTGCTCTTGCTGCCTCGATGCGATGGGAGCAAGAGCAGCGGGTTGCAGCGGACCCCGCTGCGGAGCAGGGGGTTGCTGGCCCTGCGCGTGAAGCCAGACGGGCTGCCGGTGCCTGGGACGGGGCATGCGGGGTGCCAGCCCTGTCTCAACGCCGCTCTGCTCTCCTCTTGCAGAGAAGACGGGCCAGGTGCTGGAGGAGTTCTGCCGGTGCTACAGGGAGCAGTACGGAGTAGCGCTCTTCAACAGCGTCCGCTATGAAATCGAAGGCAGCGGCGGGC